ATACAACATGGGATAGCCTAGAGAAGTAAGAGAAAGATAAAACAAAAGGATCCCAAATGCATTGGAAGGAATTGGTTAGGGGTTTTGTTTGTATGTTTCTAAGCATTATTGTTTATGGTAAATCTTAGGACTTTAAGTCTGGTCTGATGACTTTTAGGTACTTGGGAGGAGTAGTACCTACAATATCTTTCAGATCTTCTCCTCAAGTTGTTTAGTTTCTCCTCTACCAGAGCAGTGTGCTTGGTCTTTCCCTTTCCCTAGGCTCTTAGGACCTGGCATTCCTCCATTTCTGTGATTATGGAGGTCTTGGCTTCTTTGTGATCCTGGTAAAACCAGTAAAAAAGAGGTGGCTGGAAGGGCAAAGCACTTCTAGTCCTGCTTTTCCCACTCCCCCAGCTCAGCCTGCATCGTTTCCTAGGTGTCGATTATCTGCACTTGGATTTGGCTCTGGGAACAGTGAGTTGTCTGAAGAGTCAGCTGTCTTTAGCATTATACTTTTAGGTGAACAGAAAGCAAATGGCACAGAGTGTAAAATAAGTATTTGAGCAAACATTTTAATCTCACTTGGGGCAGTTTGACAAAATATGAAAACGTACCACGTGCAAATGCATCTGCACACCATCACTATCATTCTCATTTGCTTGAGCATCCCTGGAGATACTTAAAAGAAGGTTGGCTGTGGCACTTTGGGATGTGATTCAGTGGTAGACCTGGCAATGTTAGGATAATGGTTAGACTCAATGACCTATGAGGTCTTTTCCAACCTATAGGATTCTGGGATTCTCTGATTTTAGGGCAAGTTGTGCTTTTTTTTGCACAAGCCTCAGCTCATGGCAGCTGCATGCGTGACCAAGCCTCATTGTTCTGGAGGTCCCACTGGTTTTAAGAACAGCCTCTGCAGCTGAGCACGTACTTGCTGTTACACAACATGAGCACCAAGGTCTCAAATGCTAATTCTTCAGTTTCACCTGAAGGCATGGCTTGCCATATTTCTGATTCATGATCGAGCAATGAAAGCATCAGTGCTTTCTAGAGGTGAGGTCGTGCTGTAATCCAAACCAGGAAAAGAAATTGTGTCCTAGCCTAGCCTGCTATTAATTTCAAATTCTATGCAAAAGTTTGAGTAGAATTTTATTTACGCTGGACAAGGCAACTCTGACCTTTTCTCATCAAAAGGAAAAAAGCAGCGGCAGCAATAATTTACATCATGCACCGTCAATTCTTTGTACCATTAGTCAATTTGAAACAACTTTAAAAATGAAAAAAAACCCAAACAAACCCAATTAAAAGCTATTTGACTATAGGAACAGTAATTTCCAGATAATTTCTTAACTTCTGTGAGCAAATTTCCTCCAGTTTAGGAAATTCAGAATTGTTTCCATTTTGATAAGAATGGAACATCCATTCAACAGACAATAGAAGCTGTTTAAACCTGTTAAATACTATGAAATAGATGTGTACAGCTAATTAAGGTATGTGTTGAATAGTAATTATGTCATCCTGAGGGATTTACAAATAGACTCTAGTTAAAATTTGATTCAATCTTTTATCATTCACAGAAGGTGCAAATTATTATTCATTTTACGTGCTCTGATTTCAGTTCTAAAGGTAATCCAGAAAAAAGGGAGAGGGATTTATGTTTTATCAGCATTGTTTAAGAACTAAGATCCCTTAATTATCGCACTGTACCAATAGTCTGCTACCCAACTCACTGAAGCAGTCATTCAGCTTTGAAACTAACAATTTACCCTCCAAGCAAAGAGAGATACAAGGAAAAGTGTTTAGTCAGCAAGCAAATACACCAAATTGTATGTTTTGGCTTTTGTTGGTGTCCATGTTTCAGAGCAACGCAAATGTGAGTCATTTACACAATGCCTTTCAATCAAAGGCATCAAAGCAAAGGAGACAGATTCCACAAGAAAATAAAATTTAAAAAAAGGCAAAGGTGAAATTATTTATCGGATCCAGTTCCCTCAAGCTTCTGGAACCTCTTTCCAGATTTATACAACATGAATAGACTCTTGGTCTTACTCCTTTATGTAATATCTCATCATAGTAATGAAGAATTAGATAAGAGTCCTGATAATTTTGTTAAAGTATATTATAAATTCTTTCACAAGGAAGTTACTGCGATGTTTCTAGATTTATAACAATAATTGGCAATCCCTATAATTACTATTAAAGCTGGCCAAAAATGAAAAGAAAAAAAATTGTTTAATGAAATATTTTTATGTCTTGGAATGAAAGCTGTATCTTTAAAGGAAATTATGTCTTGCCCTGCTTAATGCCAACCAGTACTGAGAAGCAGCCGCCTCGAAGAGGGAGAGCAGCAACTGCCCAGGAACTCCTAGAAATGGTGTCTAGTCCTTTAAGTTGAGGTTAAACAAAGGTGCTGGACTTCTTTGGAAGAGTTATCCAGGTGTAAGACCTAATTTGTTGTGTCATGATTTTATCTTCCTAGTGGAAATGGCATTTTGGTAAGGTGAATAGAAGAATCCACATTATCTTTGGTTGGTTGGCTTGGTTTTCTTTGGGAGAGACAAATGGGCTTGACATAACTGGTTTTCTCTGCACATCCCATCATATTTAATCTTTTGACACAGCTGCTTGCTTGCAGTACAGTTTGGAATACTATCCACTGAAAAACGGGTTGCTTGAAATCTATCAGAGAACTACCATATTTATGCATAATTTTTTTTCATGCAGACTCTTAGAGTGTTTAATAGGGGTGGCATACACTGTAATAGAAGTGGAAAGTGTTCCCAGTTCTTAGCAAGATAAGAAAATGTTGTTTCTTATCTGTGATTTGAAAAGAGATGAAGGGTCAGTGAGGTAAAGATACGTGAAAGCTCTTTCACACTTGGTAAGAACTACAGAGGAGGAATGTTTCTCACTGGCAGCTTCTTTGAATGGAAAGGAAGAGAAAAAGGCAACTCCTAAGTAAAGGGAAAGGATAAGAAAAAATGTTAAGTAAAATCAGGGAAATTTGTTGGTTTACTTGCTAAAAGATACAGGTACACAGCTCTGAGATGATTTCCACAAAGAAAAGAGCAAGTCAAGCTGAGGGCAGCTTTCAATGCTTGCCTGTTGTTGATGCTTTGGGATTTATAAAAATTCATAAGGCTTTAGAGATAGCTGAGAGGAGCAAGGAGAGTGGGATGGGCTCTAAACCACCTTCAGTTTTGAGGAATTGCATGGGAATATAGGGCAGTCTGCTGGTCCCCAGGTGTAGCTTACCCAGGGCTTGCCTTGTTGTCCCACTTGACTCCATGTAGTTGTGTCAGAGAGGAAGGCAGTTGTGCTCAAAGTGGAATGGGGAATATTTTAGGTTATGCCTGTCCCATCTGGTGTAACTCCTTTGAAGTTGTTTTTCACTGCAGTGTTTGCAGGAGCTACAAAGATGGGCAATATTTGATTTCAAGACTCATGCCAAACTTAGTAATGGGGGCATGTTGGGTCTGCAGCCACTTAAATAAATTCTTTTCCTCCTTATTCTCGGCAAATTTGTAGGTTATCATCTGATGTAGGCTGTAGGAACTGTTGCATACCTGGCCTGTGCTGGCATTTGGCCTGGGAGAGAGCAGATGGCTCGGACTCTGTCCTCCTCTGTTGAAAGTAGAAGAGAGCTGTCCTACCTGTTTTGTTTGGTTTTTGTTGTTTTGGTTTTTTTTGTTTTGTTTTGGTTTGTTTTGTTTTTTTTTGTGGCATTACAATATCAGTGGATGTATTTCATCACTGTGGTGAGCTATTTTTTAACACATCAGCTTTTGTCTTGTGTTTATTTGCACACAATTCACCAATAAGTAAGATATGCATGCCTTGTGTTGAGAGGACTAATGTCATCTCATGGACCTGGGGACTAGTGCTGTGAAGTGAGAGCCTAAAAAATTCCTAAGTGTGTGCTGTCTAGAGAGTGTGAGGAACGGCTGGGGGAGTGGGGTTGTTTATCCTGGAGAAAAGGAGGCTCAGGGAGACTTTATCACTCTTTAAACTCCCTGACAGGAAGGTATAGCCTGGTGGGTCAGCCGCTTCTCCTAGGCAACAGTGACAGGACAAGAGAACATGGCTTTAAGCTACACCAAGGGAGGTCCAGGTTGGACATCAGGAGGAATTTCTTAACAGAAGGGGTTATTAGACATTGGAATGGACTGTCCAAGTGCTCAAGGAGATGGTAGAGTCACTGTCCCTGGAGGCATTCAAGAAATGACTGCATGTGGTACTTAATGCCATGGTTGAATTGACTGTGGTGATCAAAGGTTGGACTTCACTATCTCAGAGTCTTTTCCAACCTAAATGATTCTGTGATTCTTTCACTCTTGGAGAAAAAACTTATTTGGTCTTTAGTAATTAGAATACGTGAGAAATGTGTGACCAGTCTTTATCCTGTTAAACTGAAGGCTTGTAGTCTTACTACAAGCCTTGCTCCAAGCCTTACTGGCTTTCAACATGAGTGGGAAGGGAAATCTTGTCCTCCTATTATTCTAACTGGGATACGTGCACAGGTTTCCTTCTTTGACAAATGAATACATGGACTAAACTTCTGGAGCTGCACACTTAAAACTTTCATTTTACTTTTGTGCTGAAGAGTAGAAGTAGCTAAAATAACTGGTAGTGCATATAAGTTAATTTGTTGCTGAGCTTCTAATAGTAACAGATTTCAAAAATTATTTTTTGAATACATTTTGGAGCTGGTAGAATGCTTGAAAGATTAATTTCTAACAGGATTTGCATTCCATATAATTTGGATTTAATGACATGGCAAAAGGGTTTCTGAGTATATGACTCTCCTTTTCCATGGCACAGTAGGTATTTCATCTTAATTTTTTGGTTGCATGCTAAGAAATCAATATGTAAAGCAAGGGAGTACAGATACTTAAAAGGAAAGTATCAGAGAAGTTGAATAGTCATGTATTGGGTTAATATTTAAAACTGGAATATTTCTGAGTAGGAAAGGGCTTCAGAATTGGGCAATTCACAAACCACTTCTTCCCCTCCAACAGCTAATTCAGAGGCAGCAATTGTGTGAACAGCCTCTTCGCAAGAGGACCAAGTGTAGTTTGTGACAGAATTGCATGGAGATGATCCCAAGCTGAAAGTCAAAACAGGATCTTCTTTTGAGTTCACCGAGTGACCTGCAATTTTATTCCAGCACCTAACACAGGTAAGAGATTTCTACAGAATCCGCATTTCCCAAGGTATTTTAATTTCCCAATCGTAATTCCTGTTCTTCAATGCCTGCAGCTTTGGAAACTACTGATGCAGTGCCAGATTCTAGGACCAGGTTTCATGTAGTTTTATTGGTCTTTAAGATATCTCTTAGTTAAGAGATAGTCAAGTCAGAGAGTCCTTGTGCATTTGTCAGCAATCCTACACCAAGGAATTCATACACAGAGTATTATTTGAACCAGAATTTAAGATTAAAAGAGAACTGTTGCTTGAGTCTTTGTATCTCATTTCCATGTAAATCAGGAGAGATTTGTTTGAGTTAAGCAAGAGTTCTACATCAAGGTGGGAAGTGCTCTTGGCTCTTGGCCTCTTGCTGGAGAGCCAATTCCTGGGGACAGTAGATTTGGTCCCAAACTGTGTTGCTGTGTTACAGGATATAGAACAAAGCCCCCCATGAATCAAACCCTGAGATGTTCCAGCTTGCCTTTGGAAATGTATGCAAACAATAGGAGTCCAGCTGAGAGAAGGTACCTGCCCCATCCAGGCTGGGCCAGCTTCTGGCAGTTGTGTGGCACACTGATGCTACTGAGCTGATGGGCAGAGCCCTTCCAGAAGGCAGTGAGGGTGGGAATGAACCCCATGTTGCAGGTCCCCACCCTGAAGCTTCTTTCTTGCTCTTTTTTCGTTTCTATAGGCTTGCTCTCGGCATGAGGTGCCAGATTCCTAAGTAAACCTGAACTTTCCTTTTTGTTTGATATAGAATAACTTTGCAATCCGTATAAAATGCTCTGCCATGTGAGTTACTTGAGAAGTCATGTTCCATGGGAGCAGGGGAGCATGCTCTGTTCCTGCTCACTGGAAGGACAGTATATCCAAGATCATGAAAAGTAAAAGCAGTTCTGCTCCATCATCATTTCATTGGGGGTGTCAACAGCAAGAAAATATGGGATTTTATTCTTTGTGGCTTAGTTTTGGTCAGAGATAGGGTTTCAGACTAGTAATATCCTTCTTCCTCAGCTATCATCCCCAAAAGACCTCTGCATTAAGATGTAGGCAGCGCCCTGAATGTGTCCCAAACATCCTGTTTTACACCCCCACCCTCAAGTGCTGGTTATTCTAAGTGACTGTGCGGTGTGGAATGAAGCACAGCGGTTCGTGGCTTCTGCTGCTGCCACAGAAGAACTCCCAAAATGAGGAGCTACCTCTGCAGCTGCAAGGGGAGTGAGAGTCAGGATGGGACAGCAGCCACAAAAGCCACTTTCCCACAGATACTATCCTGTCCTGGCTTCAGATTATTCCTTAATCATTAGCCCTAATGAAGGGCTTTTGTCATAATGGGGGAAAAAAATGGAAAAGGAAAAAAGAAAAGAAACAGACAAGAAGGAGAAAAGACGGGGAATAGCTGGGATTATCTCTGTGCTGTCTCTCAGGTCCAGTGACAACACGACTACAATGGGTAGCTTTCAGGACTGCATATGGTCTTCCTTCCGAGGGAGTTGATTAAGCGACTCCGGATGAAATTGAAATCCTGTGATTTGACCTTTGTCTGGCCTGGGAGGACTGCAATTCGCATAACAATTTCCTTTTGTTCTTTGTTTGGAGTTATTAATCCAACATGAGCCTCGAATTAATCAGGGGTAGTGCGTTGTTACATTTCTAATTCACAGCTCCACTGCTTGTGTCTTTTTTAATTAAGGCCGAATGATAGCAGGCCTTAGCCCCTGATTGCAACACTTACTAACCACACATTGAGGGATGAAGAGGCTAAATAGGCAGAATGAGATTACTTCAAGGTTTCACTTAATTGTTTTTCCTTTAAGTAAAGAGCACTGAAAGAACATGGTTAATGCCAGGCTGCGAACATTTCTTTTCTATACGTGTTACATGTGTGTGTGTGTGCAGGGGTGGGGGAGGCTGGGGCTGGTGCACTCAGAGCTCTAATGGCTCAAGGGTTTGTAAAACTGAAGCCTTTGGTTATTGATTTAAACCATTCCTCCCACCTCCCCTGGGGGGCAGGGGCAGGAGAAGGAGAAATAGAGTTGGAGAGCGTTAAACTTAGGTAGATCCATGAATTTTCTTGTATCCAGAGTGAAGTGATTGTTTATATAGTTTCTCTTGCTGTTTGCAACTGGTTCAAAGGTATAAAAGGCAGGAAGATTGAAGGCTATCAGAGATGCTAAAGAAATGTGCTGACACACACAAAGCTCCCCAAAGCCCAGCAGTGGTAATAATCATCATAAAATAAAGGCAAGGCAGTTGTGTCACACACCAGATTTTGTTCATACCGAAGGATGTTTGAGTAATTTTGAAAAGCCATTTGTAAATTTGTATTGTAAGAGCCATTCAAGGCCACAAGGGCACAGGTGCTATTCCAGAGGAATGGTGTAGATGATCTCAGATAGATCCTGGATAACACAGTCTTGTGCCAGACACCCGAGATGCTAGAAAAGAAAATATACTGAGTGCCCAACTTTACCACATTTATTTACAAAAGCAGTTCTGTTAACTTAAAAAAAATAGAGAAGGAAAAGAAAAGGAATAACAGTATTCATATTACAGGTTTATGCCCAGAGTTTCCAGTGTTTTGACCTCCTATGGTGCAGTGCTTTGGATAGGATTGTTGTGGAGAAAAGGTTAATATTTATGCTCCCGAGCCTTCAGATGCTGAATATACAGAAATCCAATTGAATTCCATTTGTGCCATGCACCTGCAATAGCAGATAGAGCCCTGTAATTCTGGGAAGCTAACTCTTACTGAGTTATTTCGTCCATCCAAGGAGCTGGAAGAGCTAATGTTTTCTGTGTAAAATGGCGAGCTGGTGTTAATCATACCAGGCTACAGATACAGAGCTGCTGTTCTGACTCTGGCATGGGATATACAGGGCAACAACACTGTTCCCACTTTTCTGAACTCTTGATATGTTGAGGCTGTTCCACACAGGATTATCTAAGCATGCAATGATAAAACCTCTAGATAGATTAAGCAAAACTATGGTGTAAGCTCCAAAGGAGAAAAATGTGCCAGGTAAAAAGCTTATTTCTGTGTTTAGAAATCTAAATTTTAAACTGGGTCTGCTTTTTCAAATGAGCCTGAAAGGAACAGGCTATATTTAGCCTTCCATAGAAATGTATATAGTGTGTGGAAACAAACAAAAAAACCCAAGCTAACACAAAAATCTTTAGATCTGGCTTTCAGTTGGTGCAAAGAAGCACTAGGGACTTCTATGATCAGTAATGTCAACATGGGATTTACAGTGAACTGGGTTCACAGGTTCAAAGCCATTTTCTGCACTTTCCTGCTCTTTTCTTAGGTGCTGCCTGATCCTGTGTGTCAGCATACTTCTGGTAGATTGCCAGCTCCCGTGCTGGGAGAAGTCAATGGGATAAGAAGATGCTCAGCATTAGTTGGAGTAGGGCTGCCTGACAAGCAGTTCAAGTACCTTACAGATTATTTTGTTTTTCAGAAGCAGTTTTGATGCTGTTACATTAAATGACACCTTATTCTGCAGCTGAATCACACTTTGCATGGAGAGAATAGGATTAAGCACACAAGAATCTGACCATCTATTATTTCCTGTTTATTTCTATTTAAAGGCTGAATGCTTCACATTTGTCCACCTTGCTCTCTTTTTCCTAGAAATCTTTGCAGACCAGGGTGTGTTTGTTTATAGCAGACCCAATTCCAAAATTGAAATTTATTTTCAGTGCTGTTCTGTGTCTTAAATCTGCATGGTTCTTTTTTTATATATTATTGTTTGAATGCTCAGTGTTGTTGATTTAAAGGTGTCACATTACACTTCTAAAGGCTCTCAGTATCAATGTGTTTCTTATATGAGTGTTTTGAATAATATCTTAAACCCCAAAGCCCGTTCTGTCCTGTGTCCTGTTTAAACCTCATGGCAGTGGTCATTTGAAATGGTATATTTGGGGTACTTCTAAAGTCTTCTTTTCCTTATTCTTGCACAGCATAATGTTCAGCATTGATGCATTCAGTGGCTCTCCTCAACAAACTTACAATACCATTTAGTGCTTTGAGATCCTGAAAGATGAAAGAAGTTGTATAAACAGATGGCATGGGAATTACAGTGGTTCTTGAAATGGTTAACCCTTGCTGTAAACTGTTTTGCAGGACCTTGCTAGAGCCATGTATCCTGTCAGTAGTTTTCAGCAGTTGGCTTGCTCTGTATAATATGACATTACTCATTTCTTTCAATTATTCTGTGAAGGAAATTAGGCTTCTTGCCATTCTCAGGAAGCAAAAGACATGGTCAGGGTACATGATAATGCTTTTCCATCCTTGCCCAAAGTGGCCATAGTTGCACTTATTTGGGGGACAATCCTCAAGTCTGTAGGTCTTCAATATTTGCAGCTGCACCAATCAACACTGATGAGCCGACCGATAAAATGAGAGACTTATGATGCTGCTGTTCTTCCTGACAGTTTTAGAGAATCTGTTGCTATTTATGAAATCTTTCTGTTGAGTTCAAAACTGCCCTGACCTCTGCTCTATCAGGGTTGTACTCCCCATGTCTGCACTGACAAGTCAGCCTTGTGCAGCCAAATGCCCAATTCTGGCAGTGGCGCAGGGGCCGTGCCTGTCCCGCACCACACGTGGAGGTGCTGACACTCCTTCCCCTTGGAACTGAGGCAGGTCGGCTCCAGCCCGCTCTGTTTCCCTGCTCTCCTCCTTTGGACATAAGGTAGAGATTAGGATTTAATGGTCCTTTGAGTTGCCCAGCGCTCCTGCCTCGGCGCTGTCTCCCCACGATCCCCCTGCCCGCGCCCTCCCTCTCTGCCATCAATGGGAGCCTTTGATGTCGCACAAGGGAAGACTGTTGGCTAACAGTCTGGAGCTGCCTCGTTTGAGCCAACCACCACATGAAAACAAATGCGAGCCATCATATTTCATTAACTGGCTGCCCCCCGTTCAAGTGCCCTTTTTTGATGTCGGAGCGCATCCTGACAGAAATCAGGAAGATACGTGTGATTAAGGCC